GAGCAGATGGAAGTCCCTTTGCAGCATCCCGATGGCTTCCTCCTCCGTCTGTCTCAAAGGAAGAAGTGACTTTGGATGTTCTGCTAACTGCTGTGATACTTTTGGCCCACAATGTCCTGGGTGGCTCTTCTGAGTCCGGAAGCCCTTTGCTGCCAGGGTCCCTGGTAGTCAGCTCGTTGTGTGGGCTGCAGAGGGTGGAGGTGAAGCTGGGCACCTCCAAGTGACACTTGTCGTGCCAGTCTGGCTGTTGGACTGGGGTGTCAGGCTGCTGGCATCCCGCACTGGTGTTTGGTGTCCTCAGGAAGTACAGAGAACATGGGCTTCTGACAGCAAAGCCCAGACGCTGATGCCGGCCTTGCCCGTTACTAACTAGTAACGAGCTCAGTGCTGTGGTTGTAGCTCTGTGCAAACCACTTTATACCTTCACTCACGGTTTCCCAGGCAAGAAGGGTTATTAGTTCCGGCCTCGGATATTTATGTCAAGCTTAAGGAAAATGAAGTGTAGCATTGGGGAATTATAGAGGATCTTCACTCCAGAAAGCTTTGTAAATCCTCCCTGCTGGGTTAGAAAACCTTCCTCCTCCTGAAGGGTGAAGGGTCCAGGGAGCATCTTCTGCCAGAGGGGAATCACAGGACTTTTCACAGCAGGGTGAGGGCTCCTGCCCAGTGTTCGTCAGAATTCCCTCTCGTGGATGTAGTCAACACCTGGAGACAGGTGGGAAAAATTCTCAAGACTGAGAATGACTTCGATGCTAACTGCAGTTCTTTGCTCAGAAGTTTTGCCAGCAAAGCCTCTTTGAGGCATTTGAGCTCTCCCTTCTGGCTGGTTGGCAGTTCTGGAATTGGTTGGTTCTGAAGCATTGGCCACGTAAGGGCATGGTGGGTGAGCCTGTAAGCAAACGGGTCAGGTTCTTAGGCCAGAGCCCCATTCACTGGCAAGTATTTGAGGGCCTGCTGCCCTGAGGAAGTCGCCCAGGGAGAAGATACCATGCTGAGCGAAACCTGTGTGGTCTCTGCCCTCGTGGACTTTTTGGTCAGTAGGGGAAAGTGATCCTGAACAAATAACTAGGGAAATGCAGAGGAAAGGAACTGAGCAGGACAAAGTCAGGGATGCTCCACAGGGGAGAGCACCACCAGCAGGGTGGGGGCGCCTGAGGAGCCGCCCAGGCTGTGGAGATGGGAGACAGGCGGCCGGGGCACTGCCATGAGGCGGCGGGTTGAGTGCAGGGACGGCAGCGCCAAGGAGCTGTGCAGCTGTCCAGGTGAGAGGCTGGGAGGGCACCGAGGCGCAGGACGCAGAGGGGACGCAGCCAGGTCTGGGGAGTAGAGCAGCCAGGGCGGTGACTCCCCGGGGCAGTGCGTGCGCTTGTGTGCCCGCTTTTCCAGATCTGTACATCGAGCCGCAGATGGATCCAGAAGATGTGAGTGTGTGCTGGCTGACATTTTGTCCTTGCTCCTAAGGGAGACGGCGCTACGGCTGTTGGGGTAGTGTCTGCCTTGGGTTAGGTAGGTGGGGAAGTGGGCCAGGCTGCTGTCCTGTGAGAGACTTGCCCATCCGGGATCGTGGTGCCCGGGCCCCTGCCCAGTCTGCAATGCTGAGTCAGTCCCAGTGCCACTCGGAATCGGCGGCTGCGGGCAGAGAACACCGTGCCCTGCGGTCGGTGCCTCCAACCAGGACATGAGAATTTCTCCCACAGTTGTTTTTTATAAATATAATTACACGTTGTGTTAGTGAATTTAAGACATAGTCATTGTGTTTTTAGGTTATGAAATATTCTAAATGGAAATAGTCTCACTGTAACCATAGAGCAATCCTTATAGATTGTATTTATTTTAGAATCCTACAGTTTGAGTCCTTTAATTATATAATGCTTATTTAAAATAACTTCGCTATAATCACAGGACAATTTAAATTTATACTTATCAAATTAGATAACATTCGCTTTGTTTTCCTATTTAGATATAATTTAAAAGTCTGGTTTTTTGTTGTTTTGGTACGGGGCGGGGCGGGGGCTTGTTGAAATGGGGACCTTGTGCATGTGAGGCCGGTGGTGGCACCGCTGAGCTAAATCGCAGGACCCTAAAAGTCTGTTTGTTATTAATTACAGGTAGACATGTGTCTTCTAACGTGTGAGAGGAAGTAAAGATAACACATTTTCCCACTTTCTTATGTTTGCAGTTTATTATTTTTGAAAATACGAGTAGTCACTTACTCACCACTGAGGCAGATGTCCCCGACAGCTGCAGTTAAGGGGTGGGGTGGTTATCTTGGGTCAAGCTTGGTCCGTGGTCAGCTGGCTCCGCTCAGGGCATGTAGCCTGTGGAAGGCCTGTGGAGGGAGCTGCTCACATCCTGTGGCGGGGAAGCGGACAGGAGCGAGGGGCCCGCCTGCCCCTTCCAGCAGCTCCACCTCCCAGCAGCTCCTGTAGCTGTGTACTTACTATCTGTGGGTTAATTCAGGATGGTTACAGCACCCCACGGTCCAGAAGCCCCACCTCTGAACACAGGAGGGTTTGGGGGGATGTCTAGATCTATACCCCAACAATAATCAAGTGTGTCCAAGCAGGCTTGGTCAGACATTGTGCACTTTAATCTGCTGTCACCCGCAGCTCCTCTCTAGTTCTCCACCTGAGCTGTGAGCATTCTGCCTGGGTTTGCAGCCCTTCACATCGCGATTTAGAGCAGTGTGGGCGAGGGTAAGAGCTCACAGGGGCGTCTGCCAGCCCCAAGCCACACGGCCTCCCCAGCAGGGCTGCAGCTGGCCCAGTGTCTTGCCCGTTGCTGAGAGGGAAGGTTCGTAGCCTTGTGGAGCTTTGCGCCCAGCGGCTGTGTCAGGTGTATTCAGGGCATGCGAATTCAGTTGCACGAGCCCGCATTGTAGTGTAGAGAGAGAACCCCACACTTCACAGCAAGTCAGTACCCCAGCCTTCCCGCCCTCTGTGAACCCCTGGCCATGGGGAAGACGGTGGGGTGTAGATGTCTGAGATGGACCACTTGCTCCTTGGAAAAATCTCAGAGAACGTAAAGGTTTTGTCCACTAAGGACTCGTGGGCCGGTGGGTCAGGTGGCGGGCCGGTGGGTCAGGTGGCGGGCCGGTGGGTCAGGTGGCCTGCTGATGTGAGGACGACACCCCCCGTCCTTGAGGGAGAAGTTGAAGATGTGGTATAGGGTCCTCTGGAGGATGGATGGTGACAACGGGAGGCGGGTGAGTGGGCCACCCTGACAATGCAGTGAGACTTCGAGCAGCACGTGTGCTACAGGATGTAAGTGTGGGTACAACCCTCTGTGGCCTTAGGTGCTGTATGTGCAGTGTGCTGTACACACCACATGTTTGCACTCTGTTATACGTGCACCTGTGAAGTTGTGCATTTGGGATTTGTCATCTTCACGGCGTGTTTGGGGGCATCTTTGTATGTAATTTTCCTGTCGTGTGCTAGCTTAGAACTGGTTTCCTGCATAAGAAGTGACTTTCGTTATGAAAATCTGGCCTTCTCTATGAAGATATTCTTCAAGCCTGGCTGCTTCTTGCTCCTAATTAAGCCTTTTTCTCAGCTTAGGGGAGAAAATACGGGATTTATTCCTGTATCCAAAACAGTTTCCTCTGACCCTTTCTTCAGACCCAGTGGTGCATTATATTTGATGTTTTGTACTTGGTTCCCTAAAGTTTAGATGGTAGTGGGTTCGGCCTCTTCCTGTAAGGTGGTGGGCTGTCCCTGGCTTCGAGGTCACAGCCAAGAGCACAGGCTCAGTGCCTGGGCCAGGACTGTGGGGCTGCTCTCTGGCTCTGTGCCTTTCCCGCATGACCATGGACGGATTTTCTACTGCTCAAGGGCTTGACCTGCACTGAAGTGCAGACAGGTCGGCTTGTGTATCCCTGACGCCCACTCTGGCTTCCATTAAGCAGACGTTGAGTACTTGCTGTACTCGGCATCGTCCTGGGCTCTTCAGGGAAGGGCCACAATCCTGCCTCAGAGGAGTTTAGGAATTCTGTTTGGCTGACAGGGAAGACTCCTATGGGGAGCCCCGTGCGGAAGTTCAGGAGCGGGTTTCTGGTGTGTCACCCTGTTGTCCCCACACACCGATGAGATGTGCGGTAACCGCTCCCTTGTCAGGGTGCCTTTTTGCCCACGTTTATCTTCTGGTACAGCAGACCTGTTCTGCACAGGGCCAAGTACTCTCAGCCTCGGGGCAGGTACAGACAGTATGTAAACAAATGCCTGTGGCTGTGTTCCAGTAAAACTTTATTTACAAGGACAGTTTTCCATTCATATCTAGAGTTGTTTTAAAGCTTAAGACCTGTGTGAAACCCTGGAAGTGGTTGCCTCTGCTTAACTGGGGTCTGTGGACGTGGCCAGACGAGTGAAGAACATAGGCCAGGCTTGGTGTGGATCCTCTCAGCCGCTCACACACACCTAACTGCAGGCCTTTTTGTTGCTGGGTTTATTCTACAGGAAGAGCACTCAGGACCCTCTTCCGGGGGTTTAAACAAACTACCAAGGGTTTCTGGGGTCCCAGAGCCAGGGAGAGGAGGCGTGCCTCCTTTGTCTTCAGGGATGGAGACTTGTGCCCAGAGGGTCTTCTTTTGAGGCTGACCCAACAAAAGCATCTTGTGGCATTTCTGTGAACATCATAGGCCTGCCGAGTTCACCGTCTCGAGCCTCTTCAGGGTGCTTGGAGAGGGGAGCCCACTCTGGCCGCCATCCTGCGGGTTTGTGGCAGCTGGCTCTGGGGGCTGTGTGAGGCCAGAAGGCGCTCAGGAAGAGGTCCCTCAGGAGAGCCTCCTTATCATGAACCAGCCAAATAAGTGTGCCGTTCCGGTGTTGGAAAGTAGAGATAGAGCCCTAGGAAAGTAGCCACCTTAAATCTGCGAGTGTAAGTAAGTTGCCCCTCTTTAAGTCCTGCAAAGTTGTGGTTTTGACTCCAGCAAGTAGCCAGGGAGGAGTGTTTGTTTCACAGGCTGGCATCTCAGCAAGTGCATGGGGGCTCTGCTTTGTTTACAGGGAGAGGTGACATCCAGCCTCAGTTGGACAGTGCTCTCCAGGATGTCAACGATAAGTACCTCCTGCTGGAGGAAACAGAGAAGCAGGCCGTCCGCAAGGCTCTGATTGAGGAACGGGGCCGATTCTGCACCTTCATCTCTATGCTGCGGCCAGTGATTGTAAGTTGAGGAAGGCTCCGGAAGGCTTACACTGCTGGTGTGGAAGGAAGAGGCTTGCCTTCTTTATTTGTGCGTCCAACACTGAGTTGGGGAGAGTGCTGCGTCAGCAGTCACGCTGTGAATCGCCTCTGAGGTCCAGGGATTATCCCCAGTGGTAGCGCTGGTGGCCTTGTGGGTCTGCTGCGTGTTCACAGGCAACACCAGATGTTCCACTTTGCCTCCCTCAGGTTAGGAAGGCCTAGGAGAGGCATTCTCCTCAGGGAACCCAGCCACCAGCATCACCTGGGTGCTGGTTAGAAATGGAGGTTCTCAGGCCCTACCCAGACCACTGAACCCAAAACTGGGCTGGGACCTAGCGATACGCTTAAACAAGGCATCACCAAGCCTAGGTGATCCCTCGCCGAACACCCAGCAGTGGCCATGGGTTTAGTACACGAAAAGCTTCCACCAATCAAATCAGACTTCTGTTCTAAATAAGTCCTTTGCGTCCCGTAATTGAGAGCTTTGAGCTGACCGCCCACAGTGATGGCCCCACTGCACCTTCCCTCACCTCTGGCAAGATCTGGGTTCGAGTTGTTCCTTGAGAACAGAACTTTGCCCTGGGTCATTGGAAGCTTTGGAAAGGAGAGTGGAATGTGTCCTTTCCTCTACCCTACCTCGCTTGCCATTTATTAAGATGAAGGTAAAAAGCAGGAGAACCTCTGTTGAACATACAGTAGAAAGGTTGAAAAGGCTACGCGTGATCAGTGACCCTAACACAAGCAGTTGGACTAAAAGCATGACATGAATCCCTTGTGATGATAACGTGTGGATTCTTTTCCTGCAGGAAGAAGAAATCTCAATGCTCGGGGAGATCACCCACCTTCAGACCATATCGGATGACCTGAAGAGCCTGACCATGGACCCTCACAAACTGCCCTCCTCCAGCGAGCAGGTAGGAGCGACAGGCAGGCGCCTGGGCACAGAACAGAGGTGCAAGTTCAGCCAGGCCTGTGTGCCGCCCACCAATGGCACGGCCTCACCGTGGTCGCGCTGCCTGGTGCCCTGTAGTGCGAGGGCCCCTGTTCCGAGCACCGCACAGACGCACCCGTCTCACTGTTGTGCCTGTCTGTGGAGCAGGACCCTGAGGACTGCTGACCCGGCTCACCCAGCTGTGGAGATGCCTGGGACCTGGGCCAGGCTCTGTGCCTGCCCCGCTCGCTGCCCTCTAGGAGTGGCCTCACACCATCTCAGCTCCCTGCCCTCCTCCTGCCACTGGGGTCGGGCTTGGGAAAGGCTCTTGTCCTAGGAAGGACACTGGGTGTGCGTGTTTGGGGACGGTGAGGAACCGCATGCTGGATGAGTCATCTACACAGTCCCTGCTCCTTGGAGAGGCACCTCTGGGTGCCTTTGGGAGCTTGTGTTCATATGATTCTGTGATGTTGCCTCAAGTGCAGCAGAGCATGCTTTCACTCGGAAACGGCCACTGTGGAGCAGGGGTGGCCTTACCCTGCAGTGGCCCCTGGTCACATAGGGCACAGGTGACCACCACGTGTGAAGCGGTTACGATGTGCGCTCAGCAGGTCCGGAGCCACTGCTGCCTCTGTGGGACTACAGGGTGAAACTCCAGCCATGCCAGCCTTGGGGACAAAGAGCTCCTAAAGACCTTAAATGGCCACTGTGTTGTCTTTTTACTGATATTTCGTGCTTTTCCGTTTCTCTCTGCACCTTCCACTAGCTATAGTTTTGCTTGCCTCAGAAAAGGACCGTGACATGGGTGTACATGAGTACAGCTCCTCAGTTAAAAACACTTGCCATTTTCTTCTTTAATCCCCACTGCCCGCGAGGGCCGCGTCGTGATGCTCTGTGGGTGCGAGGCGTGGCAGGGCGCTCTGTCCTTGGCACCTTGCTCAGCCCTTGGCTCTGTCCCCTCAGGTGATTTTGGACTTGAAAGGCTCTGACTACAGTTGGTCATATCACACACCGCCCTCTTCCCCCAGCACCAGCATGTCCAGAAAGTCCAGCGTCTGCAGGTAAGGGCAGCGGGGCCTCTCCTTTTCAGGGACAAGCTGTTGTCCTTGTGCGAATGCGAACAGAGATCGTCTTTGCTCTGAGGGTGGCCTGTGTTAAATGGCAGGTGGTGGGAAGATTAGCGGAAAGAACAGTCAGGATTTTGGTCTCACTCTGTGGGTCCCGGATTAACGTTGCGTGGGAGAGGAAGCCCGTTAGCCCTTGGACTGGTGAATACCGCATGCTGTCCTTCAGTTGCACACTGTAGGGATTTCCCCATTTTACGACACTGCATTTGATTTTCCTCTTTAAGCAGAGCAGAAGCCATAAGGACTAAAGGAGGGTGAATGTAGTCTGCTCCTTAGGCTGATTTCACTGTTGCTGGAACAAATAGAGGAAGCCACAGTGCTGGCCCCCCCCCCCGTCCTTCTGTCGAGTTTTCATACAGTAAATGGATTTCTTGCTTTGTCATGGCCACCGTTACACTGCTGGGGTACAGCCAGCTGCGTGGTGTCTCCCTCCTCACAGTCTTGGTTGAGTGGAACAGCGCGCTGCGCTGACATGAGCTGCTGCAGGGGGCTGCTCTGAGGTTTAGTCCGTCCCCAGTTCCTCTCTGGCTGTTTGTAACTTGAAGGCAGAAATCATGGTGTTTGTCCCCGCAGCAGCAGCTCCCTCCGGCAGGCTGCCTGGTGTCTGTCTGAACACTGCACCCAGAAGTGCTGGTGGAGGCCAGGCTGCAGTGCTCAACCGCCTGCTTAGCTGCTGTGTGAGAAGCAGAGTCTCCTGCAGGGTCGGGCAGAAACCACAGGCTGCTGACACCAGGCTGGCTTGTTCAGCTCAGCTGTTGTTCATAACCTGAGTTTCTGCACACACAGTCACAATATACTTGCAGCTGGAGATGGAATGTAGGCAGAACACCCAGAGTGTGTGTGTCGCTGTTCCACTTTGTTTACTGCTCCATCTTGGAAGCAAACAGCTTAGCATTGATTGCCTCTGGAGGCTGAAAGCTGCCTGCTTCTTGTGAAGTGTGTGTTACGCCAGGCCTGTACTTCAGCAGAGAAATACCTGAGCTTAGGGGGGTGCTGTTAACTAAAGCACCTCCTTTTGGATAAAAGGTGAAATGCTGGTCCTCTGGACCCATCTGGTCTGTCTGAGGGCACCCGGTCAGGTCATGCTGAAGATGTAGCGGGCCTTGTTGCAGGGTGGTGGTTTCCGCAGGCAGATGAGATCAGTCCTGCTGTGATCGCAGCTCCCCTGGCTTTGGTGGTGGATGATGCAGCGAAGTTGGGCATCCTCGATCCATATGAACCACAGCCCGTGGCGTGCCATTGGCTCACCAGACCTGAGTCTCAGTTCCCCATGCCCACCTGCAAAACCTTTGGCTCCTGGCTGAGTGATCTGGTGCCAGATGGTGTAGGGTCCGCGCCCCATCCAGGGCAAAGAGCTGACTGCGTGGTGCTGTGCTCCTCCTCTCTGCCCCTGCTGTCCGTCCCCGTCTTCCCGGCCCATGGCTGCCGTCGCTCCTTGCCCCACAGCAGCCTGAACAGCGTCAACAGCAGTGACTCGCGGTCCAGCGGCTCCCACTCGCATTCTCCCAGTTCGCATTACCGCTGCCGCAGCTCAAACCTGGCCCAGCAGGCACCCGTGAGGCTGTCCAGCGTGTCCTCCCACGACTCCGGATTCATATCCCAGGATGCCTTCCAGTCCAAGTCACCCTCCCCCATGCCGCCAGAGGCTGCCAACCAGGTAAGGGTGCCCTCACCACTGCCGATGGCTGGGACACAGGAAGACCTCAGCTGGGCCCGTCCGAACGTGCTGGTGTGGACCCTGGTCCGGTCCTTGCACCCTGAGGGTGGTGGGTGTTGCGTGAAGGCTGTCTCAGCAGCGCTGCTGACCTGGGCGTGGTCTCACCTGGGAGCTCTCCCGAGTAAGCAGGTGGCCTGTTCTCTGGCCTCCCGCTGGCGCCCAGCTGAGTCTCAGTGAATGGGCACCGTGCGGTGCATTTGCCTCCCACGCCTGAGCCCAGCTCCTCCCTTACTGGCTGAGATGTGGTGTTGAAAAGCAGTTCAGATGCCCTTCCTTGGCCCTCTCGGGTCCCCTGTCAGTTCGTGTCCCTGTGCAGGTGAATGGCCAGCACCTCTGCAGACATTGCTGTTGGCACTTTGATCCTGGGAGAAGGGGTGTGGGGTGTCTTGGGTCAGATGGCACCAGTCCAGCCTCGCCCAGCCCAGCGCCCCAGCTACAGCCAAAGGCAGGGGCCGAGCGAGACATCAGACACCCTGCGTGTGCGTTGCAGGCCGGCGTGTCCCTCTGCGGTCTCCCATAGAGCCGGTGTGGGTAAGCAGCAGTTACTGAACCCTAGAAAAAGTAGATGTACTGTGCTGACCCCCCCACTGAGCCCTATAGCGCCACCTGCTGGGGAGCCTGGGCCAGAGCACCACGTTGCTCCCAGCTGGTGAACCTCAGCGCTCAGAGCTCCTCGGCATTTTTTGGTTTTTTTTTGCTTCCCTGGGAAACTGTGACCTCTTTCTCTTCTTTGTTCAGAGACTCAGTTTCATTTGGAAACATGGAGATCCAAGTGCCACCGCTGTAGTTTTACTGTGCCCACCCCTTGTCATGTGCTGGGGTGTTTTGGCTTGGCCTCTAGGTTGTCCCTTTGTCCCTTGCCATGTGCTTCACTAAACCATGCCTGCCCTGCTTGAAAGCAGAAAGCAGCGTGAGAGTGGTCAGGAGGGAAGCAGGGCCTGCGCTCCCAGAGGCTGCTCTCATGAGCAGCGAAACTGGGTTTGATGGCAGTGGACTGCAGTCGCCCTGTGTGCTCACAGCCCAGGCGGAAGAGGAAGCCCTTGCCTCAGCACTCCAGTCCGGGTGGTGTGGGGAGGGCCGGGTCACACTTCCTCGAGTGCTGGGGAAGCAGAAGGTGGGAAATTAGGGTTTCCCGAAATCTGAAAGCCCGTATCAAGAGTGATTTGACTGGTAGCATTACGGAAGTTTTGACAGCTCAGAGATGCTGCTGGGGCCGGGGATTGAGCTCAGTGGTTTTGCTGCCACCTGCCTCAAAAGTGCAAGGTCCCGAGTTTGCTCCCCAGTACTGAAAAAAAGTGCTGCTGGATTTAATAGAGATCTCTTTTTTAAAAAAAGTCATTTTGGCTGCTTGTAATTATAGGGGAGGGGAATTTAAGGAAATGGCACAAATCAAATCAGCCTGAAGGCAGTAGAGTCACCTTTAATTTAGATACTTTTGACCCCCATTCTGAAGATGGAAAGCCATTAAATTTAGAGAGCTTTGATGTCCACAGCTCCTCGACTAGAATTGGCAGAGACAAAGCTCCAAACCCTCAGACTTTGAGCCTGGGCTGCTAAGGAGACCCTGAGCTTGGGCCCTGCAAAGTCTATCCACCTTTTAGCCTGTCCTCGCTTTGCTATCATGGAGCCCCGAGAACTGCTAAATGTCGTCCTGGGCCCTTGTCTTCGCAGGATGGGAAAACTAAACTTGGTCCCTTTATAGGAGCCTTTCTGATGGGGCGAAAGGGGCAGAAACACCAGTGTGGGTTCCCTGGCAGTTGATTCGGGAGCTTTTCTGGAGAAATCCTGGCACAGAGGGCGGGGCTCATTTCAGCGTCCTGGGCTTAAGGAAGTCCCTTGGGGGTCCTCAGGGGCTGGGACCTGGTTGACAGAAGGGTGGTCACTGCTGCTCATCCTGTGGGTGTTCTGGCACACCTGCCACCTACCGGGTCAGGATGGGAACCTAGTGTGATGGTGAGCTCTTCAGCCAGTGGCAGCATCAGGAAGCCTTGCTGAGAGGAGCACACACCCTGCCCACGCCTGGCTCGGGGTTTAGTACACATCTGGGAGGAGCTGTCCTGACTCAGACCTGCAGCCGCTTTACCTGGCCCCAGAGGCCTCAGACTTGGCCCTGATCTGGCCCAGCCCAGATTGCCGTCCAGGCAGGGACAGCTCAGTGCGTCCCAGAGCCAGAGCCACCCGATAAAGGGGCAGCCAGGCATTAGGGCCATTCTGGGGAGACAGATGTGCCACAGGCCCCAAGCTGCAGGTGGCCTCGAGTAGTGAGCCAGGCAGCCCTGGGGACCTGGCCTTGGTACGTGGGAGCGCACAGCCCCCTGGCCGGCCCTCCGTGCCGGGCACACTCGAGCCCCGTCCTCGAGCCCATGGCCCAGCAGGGTAGGAGCCTGCCAGGGCTCACCTTGTTTGTAGGCTTGAAAGCTCCGTGTGAGCGCAAAGTGGGGAAAGTGACCCTAACCTGTGCTCTCTCATCCTCCCCTGTTCCGTGTATGTCTGTCTCTCTGTGCGTGCCTCCCACCCCTCCTTACTTTTGTTTATGATTTGGTGGCGTGCTTTGGTTTGCTGGTCCCCTCGTGTGGCCCCTCCCTACTGCTACAGAACTCATCCAGCTCGGCCTCCTCCGAAGCCTCAGAAACCTGCCAGTCCGTGAGCGAGTGCAGCTCCCCCACCTCTGTCAGCTCAGGCTCCACCATGGGCGCCTGGGCGTCCACAGAGAAGGTGACCGCCGGGGCGCAGCCGTCCCCGCTGCTGGAAGCGGACCCTCAGCACCTGCCCCAAGCAGGCCCTTGCTGGGGACAGAGGGGGCGCAGGCCGAGGGCTGTGTGGAGGAGCAGGGTGCAAGGAAGGGCTGGGGGGGCTCGGAGGAGGGAGGCCCCGTCCCAGGCCGGCGCCAAGTGCTCCCCCGGCACCTGGTGATGTCCAGCTGTGCCTGGCTGTGTGCTTTGCGCCCCACCCCGAACCCACCCCCGAACTGGGGGATGAGTTTGGAAACCTACAGCGAACAGATTCATTTGAAGATGCTGCCAGACTTGTAAACTTGCATTAAGAGATGAGCAAATCCCTGTCCCATGAAAGTATGCTTCATTAGTAACTAATCAAAAGCCACAGCGAACACTGCGAGTTAAGGACACCGACCAGTTTCCAGGCTGCTGAGAGGCAGGCCCCGCCCCATCTGGGTACCCCTGTGTTTGTCTGTGACCCCCAGGCTCCCCTCTCCCCCAGTGTCCATGCCATTGTGTACCTCCGCACTCATCCCGTTGTATTAATTTTTGCCTTTTCTTCCCCTTTTCTGTTTGTTTCCAGTTGTCTAACGGGTTTCCTCCCTGTAGTTTATCAAGTGAGGCCCCCGTGGGGCCCGTGGGCGCAGGTGCTTTCCCTCACTGCCTGCCCGCCTCCCGCCTGCTCCCCCGGGTCACCTCTGTCCACCTTCCAGACTACGCTCATTATTACACCATCGGGCCCGGCATGTTCCCGTCATCTCACATCCCTAGCTGGAAGGTTTGTGTCTCGCCCTCCCTCGTGCTCAGCCCACCTGCATCCTTCCATCCTTCCCGCCCTCCCTCCCTCTGTCCTCTCTCAGCCTTGGACCCCAGAGCACCCACCCGTTCCCTAGTGGGCTTCCCGAGGGTGGGGCCAGACGCAGCCGGCAGCAACCCCAGTTAACCCAACAGACTGCGCCCGGGAGGCTCTGCCGGGCCCATTCCTAGGGTGAGGTGTGCGGGCGATTCCTCCTGAGGGCGCCTGGCTGCCCACGCTGGCCCGCCGGTTTCCTCCCGAGTCTCCCGCTGGGGCAGAGAAACAAAACCACCACCAAGTCAGGTGTTTTATCTTAGAAACACGCAGACTTTATTTTTTAGTTTTGATTCTTCTAGACTTAGCTCCTGGCAAGTTCAGGTGTTGCAGGGGATGTCCTTTTATTTTCGAGAAGGACCCTAGTTTGAAAGTCCGCTCCTCAGCTGCCAGCACTGCGCACGTTCTAACTTGACCGCTCGCTCCCAGGCCTGTGTGGGCTGTGTGCACTGCTCACACGCTTCTTCCCTGCTCCGGGGAGCCCGCCCGCCCTCCGCCCTCCGCCCTCCGCCCTCCGAGGCCGAGGCCAAGCCACTGGGCTGGCCCTGAGAGGCCCACTGTGCCCCAGGCGGGGGTGCGGCCCGGAGCGGAGCAGATGGCACGGTAGCGCCCCCCAGTGGCCGGGGCAGTAACGTGCACTCTCTGAGGCGGCTCTGAGGTGGCTCTTAGGCCTGGGCCGGCTGCCTGGCCGTGGAGCGTTAGTAACCGCTGGGCGGAGGAGGAGGAGGGGGAGGAGGGGGAGGAGGAGGTGGCGGTGGCGGTGGCCTGGGTCCCCAGGGCGTCGGGAGCCGGGTGGGCACGCAGAGGGCTGCGGGCTGGACCCAGCTGGGCTCCCCTCACGGCTGCCTCCGCCGGGCCGCGGCCTGCCTCTGGCCGCGGGCTCTCCTAGGACTGGGCCAAGCCGGGCCCCTATGACCAGCCGCTGGCGAGCACCCTGCAGCGCCGCAAGGACAAGCGCGAGCCAGACTTGGGCACGGGCGGCCCGGCCGAGGAGGTGCAGAGGCCGCGCAGCATGACCGTGAGCAGCGCAACTGTGAGCAGCATGAGCATGAGCGTGTCTGCGGCTGCCAGGGTGACTCCCACCCCCGGGGCGGGGCGGGGTGGGGTGGGGCGGGCACTTCACGTAGGGCTCACGGCTGTCTCTCCCCGCCCTGCAGCCCACCGAGGAGGTGGAGGCCTGTGAGGAGCTGGCCCTGGCCCTGTCACGGGGCCTCCAGCTGGACACCCAGAGGAGCAGCCGGGACTCGCTGCAGTGCTCCAGTGGGTACAGCACCCAGACCACCACGCCCTGCTGCTCGGAGGACACCATCCCCTCCCGAGGTAGGAGGGGCCTGGCTGCTTGGGCAGCTGAGGCGGGAGCATCTCGACCGCAGAACCAAGCCTGGGCAACTGAGCCGAGACCCGGTCTCAAACTAAAAGGAGGGCCGGGGTGGGAGTGCATCTCAGTACCCCCTAGGCTCAGGCCCTAGTGTGTACAGAAGGAAGGGCATGGGGGGACAGGGAGAGAGCCTGGCAGGGAGGCAGGGAGGGGAAGCAGAGGGTTGGTTTCATCCTGGGAATGTTTGGCGAGGTGGTCCTTGCTGGTGAGGTAGCTGCCACCTAAGAAGCGACTTTCAGGCATGGAGGCGCACACCTGTCACCCCAGCTAGTCAGGAGACTGAGGCAGGGGGATTGCAAGTTCAAGGCCAGCCTGGGCGAGACCTTATTGAGACCTTGTACTGAAATAAAACGGTACAGAGATTAGCTCAGCAGAAGAGCACCTGAGTTCAAGTCCCAGCAGCACCAGAATACAGCAATTGACCTGGACTTCAGCAGCTTCTCTCTCACCCTGGGGTGCATGTGGTCCCCAGCCAGAGTTCAGATACGTGCTGTTATGAGGGGCTTCCTTTTATTTTGGCACTTTGTGCTAGGCATTTCCAACAAGGTTTTTAATAGTGCGTGTTTGTGGTACATAGTGATTATTGATCCTGGGGAGTCGGTATGATCCATAACACATTTGAATTCTTTTTTAACCCCTCTCCCTCCATGTTTTGGTCCCCTTCCCATTTGCAAAAGATTGTCTCTGGTTTATCTTTTATTTTGCTCTTTATTTATACTTTGGGTGCCTCATATAAGAGGAAGCTGTGCTAAGCATTTTATACCTATTTTCCCATTTAATATTCATGACGACTTATGAGGTAAATATTTTATCCCATTTTACAGATGTGGAAACTGAGGTTCAGTAACTCCCCCAGTTCACACAACTCCCATGTAGCAGAGCTGGAGTTAACCTAGAGTGTCAGGGTCTGTTGCCCACGGCCTCCACCCACATCCCTCTCTCCTGCCCATGCGTCAGCCCACAAGCCAGGCAGTAACGGCTGGAATAGACCTGTGGCAAGTGAGCGACAGCTGTGTATTTGCAAGCCACCAGCCAAAGCCTCGGCAGTCTCACTGGAGGGGGATTTCACTCCCAAGGCGTTTCTGGTTGTCACAGGTGGAGGGGTGCTGTGGCAGCTTCCCCTGGCCGCCCCTCACATCCCGTCACGATGGGCCTGTCCACACCTGGCTTTTGGGAACTCGCTGTCCAGGATCCATGCCTGCTTGAGCCCCCATCTAGCCAGTTAGTGAGTGGGGAGGTGCTGAGAGCGGTGCCAGTCAATCTGAGGTTTGCTTTCACATCGGGTCCCAGACCATAAGATCTATAGATCTTCTTTCATCCCCCAAGGCAGCTCTGCTGTAGCCTGGCTGCCTGGCAGTCTCCACACTCACAGCACCTGCGTGGCCCCGTCACATCAGGAGGGAGCAGGGCCCTGCGGGGAGCTCAGGGACTGCACTCAGGGCTGGGGTGAGCTTTCGTGTGTCTTCTCCTTGCCTTTCGTCCTCCCAGCTTTGGGAATCGGAGCTTCGGCCTTGGCTGTGTCTAATCAGTTCCTGCACTCAGTTTCAGATTATGATTATTTCTCCGTAAGTGGTGACCAGGAGGCTGATCAGCAGGAGTTTGATAAATCCTCCACTATACCAAGAAACAGTGACATCAGCCAGTCCTATCGACGCATGTTCCAGGCCAAACGCCCTGCCTCCACGGCCGGCCTCCCCTCCACCCTTGGACCTGCAGTGGTCACCCCAGGGGTCGCAACCATCCGACGGACCCCTTCTACCAAGCCTTCTGGCCGCCGAGGGACCATTGGAGGGGGTCCCATCCCCATCAAGACACCAGTGATTCCTGTCAAGACCCCAACAGTCCCAGGCCTCCCTGGGGTGCTGCTGTCCCCTCCAGACGGGCCGGAGGAGCGGGGTGAACATAGCCCGGAGTCACCCTCCTTGGGGGAGGGCTTCCAGGGAGTCACCAGCATACCCTCTTCCCTGTGGAGTGGGAAAGCCTCTGTCAACCCTCCACTCCCAGGCCCAAAGCCCAGCATCCCTGAGGAGCACAGACAGGCGATTCCAGAAAGCGAGGCCGAAGACCAGGAGAGGGATCCCCCAAGTGCGGCCGTCTCCCCAGGCCAGGTGCTGGAGAGCAGTGCTGCAGACCTGAGCCCGAGGGATACTCCCCAGGGGGAGGACATGCTGAACGCCATCCGAAGGGGCGTGAAGCTGAAGAAGGCCACGACAAACGACCGCTCCGCCCCTCGCTTCTCTTAGGCTCCCAATGGAAAATGAACCTCTTAATAAATCCTCATTTGTCTTGATCCATTCCACTCTATAATCAAAAAATTTTGTAGGCAATTCAGAATTCAGCTCTTTTGAAAATACTCAACATATTTAGATAAGAATTAAAAGCAAAATATGTACCTGACATCATCTTGGTCTGTTAAATTTGTAAATATTGACAATTTTCTTCACATTTTAATCTTAGTTTCCCTTTTGATTTTTCTGAAGGTGCCAAATTCCACTTAACTTTTTTACAAGTCTTTGTAAAATTTTAAATGCGTAGGGGGTGGTGGGATGGGGCAGGGGAACCACAGAGTAGTTAATTTCAGAAAAGGATTACTATACTTAGTTCTTTTTTCATTCTCGCCCCTGCAAGCTTTTATAGATGCATTGTAGTAGTCTAGCTTAGAAGCTAATTCACGTTATTTTAATGTAAAGAGTGGGTAAGGGGTAAAATTCTCATTGAAATGTACTATGTTCTGGACGAGAAAAGCAGGACTGACAACGGAACAATATTCAGAGAAGCAAATCTGGAGAAGGTGGACTGTTGGGACTGGGGAGGGTGGTGGGAGGGCACTGTCTGCATAGCCGATCCTGTTACCTTTAAGAGTAGCCTTGTAGGTTGAATTTCTACTAGCTTCATGGTAAATGCACCCAAATAAGCCATACTGGATTGCAGTGTTGTTTCCGCAGGGTGCTTAAGGACCCCTTTCTCCCACGGTTCCTCTTCACCCACCTGGAATCCTGCTCATGCTGCCGCCGCCTCAGGGTAGACGTAGGCCCCACTTGGTTCCTTGTCTACTGTGCTCACTTTCATCCAACCCAAGGACATCTGAGGTACGGCAGTTTTCAGAAATTTGAAAACTGATAGGGAGTTCTTAAGACATAGCAAATGCCTTTTACTTACCTGTGCCCAGCAGGCTGGGTGCACTGAAAAGCCGAAATATTTTGAAAAAGGTTGAGTGGATTTAACAAGGGTAACCAGGTTGGAGTCCAGCAACTTGCTAATGGGTTTACCAATCTGGGGGCTTGTTTTTCTTATCTTCCTTAAATAAAGGGCAGTGAATTGGCTTCATACTAAACACTGAAAAGAGGAGGATTTATTTATTGTCACTGGGAATCTGGCCACTAGACTGTCCCTTATTTTAGACAGTGTTTTCTGGAATGGATTTATGTCTTAAGTGAAAGTTGAATTTGTTATAATGCCCATCCCCTAAAGTCAACAGAGAATTGTAGATTTACAGGGAGCACACTGGGAGCAAGCAGGCAGGTAGGCCCCTCCCGTGGCTGCAGTGCACTTGAGGACTGGCCCTTTGTGGGGCTTGCGGCTCCCGCCGTCCTTCATGATGCCCCTTCTGCTTTCCCACCTAACTGCACTGGATGTGAAAGTAACGTAGCTATAAGTTACTCTTCTGTATACTGACACTTAACGCTGCTGTGATTGCTCAAGGACACTGTGTTATGGCTTTGCGCAAGGCATGATTACTAGAAACTATTTAAGCTTTTTTCTTTGAAAAACAAGCTCGTCTACAGACTGTAAGCAACAGTAGTGCCTGTGGTTTAGCCCACCAACCTTGATGACTAAAAGTAGCTGATGCATTGTGCATATGATGCTTGAGATAGTTTTTGCAAAAGCAGAAATCATTGCAAGGTGATTACAGTAGATAAAAGTGGTATTTTAAACTTTCAAATTACATGGATGTAACTGTACCCTGGTACAGCTTTTCACTTGTTTAGTTTTTAAACATTAGTATAATCTGAATAAATTTAATATAAAATGTTGCCAAATTCAATGTAGAGAATGTGACGAAACACCTTGGATAGTTCTGTTTGTGTTTTTGCATATTGTAAAAGCAGTGTCACAGCTAAAAATACAGAAACCCTTTCTCAAGGTTAATTACTGTGGTTTAGTTGCTAGTTTGTACTGGAGTTGACCTCTCCCTGTGCAGTTTTTGTTTAAACCTGTATAAATAAGTTGTGTAGTGTCTCCCTTCTACATTGTAACAGTTGCTTCAGCCTACATTACCAATAAAGAACCACTAGAAGAAAAGCCGTTTCAAGTCTTACTCAAATTTAGTTTGGGGTCTCAGTCAGATACCAAAAGAGGGACTGAGACTCAAATTGAGTTCTTAGAAAGCCGACACTTACGCAGTGCTCAAGAGGCCTACGAACAGAGCTCCCTAAACTGACTCTGAAAGCCATTCTAATGAGTTACCAAGAACGAAAAGTGACCAGTTTTGGTTCAGTTTTGAAAATTACTTCAGCTTCTTGAAAAAAAACAAAACACCTTGAAACAAAAGGGCTGTGCCATGTTCTTACCTTTGAGTCTACAAATAATCCAGCCAACAGCGGAGGAAGCAAAGCTAGATGGCTGGCTCCAAAGGTCCTGGTTCCATCCAGTACCAGCCTTTTACCCAGCCATTCACTTCCACTCCTGATAGAATGAGGCCAACTCCATCCATGTCTGTTGGTGGGAGAACTGTTCTCTACAGGACTAAAATCTCAGTCTGGCCTGGTGGCATGGGCCTGCATTCCCAGTACTCTGGGAGGCTGAGGCAGGAGGACTGCCAGTCTGAGCCCAACTTGGGCAACACAGTGACTTAGTGTGACCCTGTCTCAAAAGGTTGGGGATGTAGCTCAGTGCAAAGGCCCTGGGTTCAATCCAAAGCAGCACCAAAAAAGGAAATAACAAAACACTCCAATCTCATTAGAATCCTTAGAAAACCAAAAAGGTCTTTATTTTTTTTTTTTGGTACTGGGGATCGAACTTGGGTTAAAAAGGTATTTAAATCGTTGGGATTTCTCTTGAGTGTATTTGCTGTGGTCTTTACAGCTAATTAAAGCCCTCACCTTAGCGGCTGTCCAGCTCAGTCTTCAGAGTAAGTCTGGGCTCTGCCGGTTTCCCCTGACTGATAACATGCTGTCAGTGTGGCCTATCACACATCTCAACAGTGACACGGCACCACAGCGCCTCTCAGAAGAATGCCGCAGTCACAGCACACGGGTGGTTTTATTAGGGCAAGTGGGTTTCACTTGCAAGCATGAACATGAGGTGCCTGCGCCTCTACATGGGCTGCTCCCGGGGCCTGGTCACAATGTGCCACCACAGCGGGGGCAGATCGCCTTCCTTTCTGGCAGGAGGCAAAGCTTCAGTCTTGGGACCATCAGGTGGGGTCTCCTCCTGCAGCTGCTTAACCTAGAAGGGGATGAGGAAGGAAAAGTTATACATGTGCTGTGTACAGCTGCTTTGTTCCCACTCCCAGTTTTATCAGAAAAGCGTCTCCCCCTCTGGCAGCACTGAGGACCAAACCCAAGGCCTCTGCACTGAGCTGCATCCCTCAGGCCCCAACCCCGCTGGGTCTTGCTAAGTTGCCCAGGCTGGGCTCAAACGCACAATCCTGCCGCCCTAACCTCCCAGTGTGCTGATATCACAGGCGTGTGCCACCACATTTGGCAAGTTTTCCAACTCTTAAAGCAGAAGAGCTGGAAACAACCAAGCTACCCGTCCTCTTACTCCATAAAGAAAAATAGGACAGTTACACTTGCAGTTCCCCTTGTCACAGTCCCCAAGCACCTCCCCTCACAGAAAAACATTTATTCCTGTGTTTCCATTAAGCACAGCCAAGAAACCTCAGTTCACAAGCATAAAGCCCCTCTCACCCCGGACAGTAGCCTGGACGAGAAGTAACAGGAAGTCACACGTACAAATGGGCCCAGTCCACCTGATACTGACCAACCAGCCCCGACCCCCAAGGTCACCGTCCTAGCACAGCCGGACACCTAGGAGCCCAGCTCCCCCACACAGGTGTGCTGGCTGACACTGCGGACGTGAGCGCGGAATGCTTCAGAGAAGTCAGCACTAACGGACCGCGGAATAAGCCTGCTGCTGCTCAGCACGAAAACAGACTGCCAGCCTCTAAATGTTGTGACATTTCTTAACAAACATGGTGCCTCGTGGCCATAGTGACCTTCCCCCCACTTCAGCTTGGCCAGGGGGTTCCAATGATCGACATCCTGGATCTGACCCAGAACCAGCACAACTTCTACACTATGAATCCCAACGCCCCCTTACTCAGTGCCACTGCCCTCCCGGCTCACTTGCTTTGACGTCCCTGGGATCCCCAAGAGATTACAGTTCAGACTTCCCTCCCAAGTTGGCCTCCTCTGTCCTTCCTTCCCTCCTTCCTTCCTTCCTTCCTTCCTTCCTTCCTTCCTTCCTTCCTTCCTTCAGCTTAGATTCCCTCGTGACAATCATTCTTGGGAATAACCTCAGTCTCAGTAACTGTGTATCATGGGCAACCTCACCATCCACCTTTAACCTGAGTGCAGAGAGATCAGTAGTGCTAGAGAAAAAGGTCCTGGAACGAGGTGGGGTCATAACACCTCAGACGGGCCTTCACTGCCACCCAGCCCCCTGCAGCCCCCCGCAAGCGCGTGCTCTCCATGCGGGCACAGCTCCTCCACACCATACACCCTGCATGGCTTCCTGTGGCCTTCAGACGCCATCACACACAGGTCTCACTGTCAAAACATCCGACCCAAATGGATACATACACTTTACGTCCAATTATAATAGAGAAGAATTCTTGCTCCTTTCTTCTCTCTCTACACTCTCTCCTAGGATCTCCTTCACTTCCATGGCTTTGTAAATGACCACAAGTGCATCGCTATTTCTGGACCAGTGCTCCTTGCAGGTTCAGATTCCTACATCCAAAGTTGCCTCCTTTATCTCAGACCTACACTTGTAAAACGAGATGCCTGACTGTCCTCCGATGCCTGTTTCCCCACCCATCTTCCCTATCTCAACCAGCCCCGTCACCACACTCGAGATGTTACAGCTTCACACTGCAAACCATTCTCGATGCCCTGCTCTCCCCCCCCGCCCAATCAATCTTTCTGTTTCTCAAAAAGATACCTGGGATGTCTGTTTCCTCCATATCTACTATATCCACCCCGCTGCTGGTCACAGTAACCTCTTGACTGAAGTACTGCAATAACCCAACTGGTCTCTACTTTTCCTCTTATCCTCCAGTATTTTATTGATAGTGTAGCAAGAGCTGTTATAAATGTAACTCTGACCACCAGGAGATCACTGAAAAATGCCTAAGGCTCTAGGTGGAGAAGGTTAAGGAATATGAATAGTAGGGTCCAGCAAGGTCAGCCAAAGGTCCAAGGTCAAGGAGAACAGAAACAGAACTAGAGAACATCCTAGCCAAAAAGGCAAGGGGACACATTTAAACTTATGTTACATGGAATACACTTAGAACCGAAGTGCATCTGAGAAGCAAGGGGCCAGCATGTCCTGGCTGAAATGGGACCTCAACACGCAAGAGCAAAGCTGATTGTCCAGGTGCTGACTGCACGCCAGTGATTCACAAGGCCACCCACCTCTCGTGCCCAGCTTTCCATCCGCAGTTTCTTCCACTGCTCTCTCTTGGCAAAGTAATCAGGATACACAGCCTTCTCAGAGGGGTGCCAGTAATCTAAGCACCATTCTGGAACCTGCCCAGAGAGGAAATCATGGTGTCACCCTACAGGTTACACTTGCAGGCCGCTCACACGGTCCTGCTCAGGAGACAGAGACAAAATAAAGTTGGACTTTCATAATCATTGTGATTACCAGGCTATTTCTGACTCTAAGAAATGAACAGCAGAGGCTAAGATAAAGAATGCTGTAATGGAGAGAGCCCATGGCTGCAAAATAGCAGCATCAGCCAGAGACTCAAACACTGTCCCAGCCCTACCTAATCTTCTGAACACCCAGGCTGGCTTTGAGTTGTCTGGAGGCATCACAGGGTATCTCATGAATAGTAAGTACCAACCCAAACAGTTAACTTTTAGGACCCCAAATTAGGTATTTCCAAGAAATTTATTGCCTGGCTTTGCCAAAAAGCATACTGGAAGATCTTGGAGCTGAATTTGAAAAGTTTTAATGACATCTGAAAAAAAAAAATCTGACCGCTCAGGAAAAAAACGTCCTCGCCACCCTTCACAAAACAGTGTATAAGGCTGAGCTCTTCGATGGAGGAACAGAGACCACCTTTTTGTCCAGTTCTCTGTGGCCCTCACCTACCTTGTAGCACTCATATCTCTCGTAGGAGGTCCCCCCAGGGGAGTCGGGGAAGATATACGGCTGTGGGTGCTGACACTGCCAGAACTCTTCTTCCGCGGCCCTCAGAAGCTGGGTGCACTTTATCATGTCCTTCTCATTCCTGTGTTCTTCAAAGCGGGCTCTCATCAAACAAGCAAAGTACCGGTATTTGTACCTTAAGCCAAAGGATTTTGGTGATTAGAAATGTTATCCACTGAAGTGGGGATGCAATACAGTCTGACAGGAGCTGCACCCCTGCTAATGCTGCCAGGAGGACCCACTTCTGGGCACATCCCCCACCGCTGCCTGTGGAGCAGCCGAATCACGACTGCTTCCTCTGCAGCCCCCCAGCCATGAGTGGCAAGAAACACTGTATTAAACACAGCCCGACCATTTTCTCCCTCTCTCCTCCAACAAAGGAGCCACAGTAAGAAAAGGAATTAGTAAAAAAGCTATGGATAGCTTCTGTAGGGGCATTCAACATTTATTCACTGACAACTTACTGAACTTCCTGTCTTACAGTAGGCCTGTGCTAAACTGGAGGTGAATGAATAAAGAGAGGTGTTTCATGGTACAAAGTCTTGCTCAAATTACATTTAGGTTTGACTCCTGACCGACACTAGCCACACCATAGGCAGGCTACAGGCAGGTTCTGCAGGAACTGTGGGCAGACTTCACATAAGAGCCTAGGTGTTGCACGCCTATATCCCAGCACTGAGGAGGCTGAGGCAGGACAATGGCAAGTTTAAGGTAAACCTGGACTACATAGTGAGACCTTGTCTCAAAAAAAAATCAGTTTAATCAGTCAAGCTACTGGAAAATGGTCCTAATAAAGCTTACTAAAAATAATCATCAGCAACAAAAATCTACATTAGTTACGGTGCTCTGAGTACAGTCCAGACCAGAGGACAAAGGCCTAAAGTAGGCCCCTGTAATGACAGAACATAGGAGAAAGATATTTAGACCATTTACGAGAATGGGCCTGAATTTCAGCTTTGCTACTGCTAGAAGCATAATCTGGGGTAAACTATTCAATGGTTCTAAGCAAGGGTTCTTCTGTATCTATATCCCAAAGTCTCTGCAAAGACTCCAGGGGCCAAAACACACTTCACAAAGCACCTGGTACACCCCCAAGTGTGCAACAATGTATCAGACATTATTACATGGTGTCATGGTTTGGATCTAGAGGTCCCCCAAAGCTTCCTGTGTTCATAGGTGGGGCTTTTGAGTTTATAGTTAAATGTGATGGAAGGGGGGGACCTGGTCAGAAGAGATATTCGCTTGGGGTGTAGTTTAGAAGGGTGTAAGTGGACTCTTGACTTTTGAACTCAATTCCTTGGGTGGGCTGGTTGTAACTCAAGTTGGTCAATCGTCTTCAAAGTCTCTCTCCTGTATAATTTTAGGCCATACTTTCTTCCAGGCAGATCTCAGTGTTCTTCGAGTGACATTGGTCCGGGATTTCTCAATTAACCCCACACAGAAAAGGATGGTGTAATGTTCCTTCCAGAACTCTTGAAGGGTTAAATCTGTATCTGAGACCATCTGGAAGCACAAGTGGCTGACATTCAGGTTGTAACTCAAGACTCTGTTCAAAAGTTAAAACTAAAATTCCAGTTGTAACCCAACTTGTTCGTATGTCAGGCTGGTTGTAACTCGAGGGTCCACTGTACCTCCTTCCCTAGCTCCTCCCTGGGGTCACTGCTTCCCATCTACCTTGAGGTGACCAGATCTCCACTACCACACTCTTCCATGCCTTCCTGCCTTGGAGCCGGAGCCAGCCAACTACGGGTTAAAAATGTGAGTCAAAATAAAGCTCGCCTCCTTTGAGCTGCAGGTGTTGGCTATTTTGTTCCAGTGATAAGAAAGTTACTAAGACACATGGGAAAGAACTTACAAAAAAAAAAAATCAGCGTCCAGACTTACATGATGTATGATGTATGAACACATGTGTTACTAATGGAGTTAAAAACCTGAGAACAATTTTAACACTTTAAGCTTAGTAACTGAAGTCCTAATAATGCCACTAGCTGGGTCATAGAATTTGGGAAGAGAATCTGAATGAAAGAATGAGAAAATGAGTTTGGTTTTAAATCATTCACACAAGCTAAGTGTCAGAGAAAAAAAGGTGATCTAACAAGCATTTGGAAATACAGCTCTAGAGCCAAATGAACATAGGTGGCAATTCAAGTCCCAGAATTAAATGAGAGCCCAAAGCACACACACACTTTAGAGAGCCTACGACGGAACCAGAGAACACAGAGTACTGCGGAGGCAAATGAAGGAAGACATTCAGGCAAGGCCTGAGGAAGAATGTGAAGTTTTTAAAATGATGAATCAATGCTATCACTGTTATTAGTTTTATCATTTCCTCTATGATTATGAACTTTAATATTCCAAGTTGTAGTTCAGCAACGTGAATTCTTGACAGCATAACTTTCTTCAAAATATTGATAATTCTGTTATCTATTTGTTTACATGCTCATCCCCATCCATGAGCTGCTGCAGCTCAGAAAGGAGTAACTTTTATTTATTTGGCATCCATCATAGAAGCCGAATTGCACATACTGTCAAATAAATGAATAGGAAAAAACTCAAGAAAGAAACTAACAATCTCACAACGTTGTACCTGGCCACCTTCAAGGCTGCCTTCTGCAACTCTTAAGGGTCGGCTCAGTTTTTCATCATTTAGAGGTTTCTTTCCCAGACGTCCTTCGCCTGGGGTTAGGTTTTGGGATTCTGACAAGAGAGCAGAGGCCTGGCATTCACACATCTTGGATGGTTACCTATCTTGCATTGCATTTAGGTCACAAAAAAACTATATATTTTAACACTATGTTCTAGGGCTGGTTTTGGATAGAGGAGGAAAGAATTACGTGGGAGGTGAAAAAAATGTGACGGTAATAAGAGAACTGGATGAAGCTAAAAAGAGAAAAGCTGATAGGAAAGGTGAGAGAATGACGATGCTTTGGCGTCAAGACACCTAAATTTTAATCCTGACTCGGCCACTTAGTAGCCGTTCGGCCTTGGGGAAGCTAATCCCAGAGCCTCCATCTGCTCACCTGTAAAACATGGCTGAAAAAATCCCCTAACTCCCAAGTTGTTCTGTACACTCAAATACTGTACATGCTGCTGTTAATTTTGAGCACGGTAAGATCGTGAAGAAAATGTACTCGGCGAGCGGTGGACCTACGACCGTCACGGTTTCGGACCTTTATGAAACCCTGTGCGCTGCGACCAGCGTCCACTTCACCGCAGAGAAGAGGCCAGCGCCTCCTAAGCACCTCTTCGCTTCCGGCTGCCACGGGCTGACGCTGGGGCTCCGGGGGCCGGGATCGCCTCCCACTGCGTCCCCAAAGTCCTTGAGCCGCCCGGGCCCCTGGCTCTCAGCCTCCACGCCCACGATCGCCCTCCCGAGCCCCAGGGCCCCTGCTCCCACCTGTGGACACACCACGACTCGAGGTGGCGCAGCGCTCGCTTATAAAGCCGCAACACCTTCTGCTGGTGGGTCAGATAGGCCCCAGACGCCAAGAACGACATCGCGGGCCCTCGCCTTCAGCGGCCGCAGGGGACTCCGGAACTGGAAGTTTGAGGCTGGGGGCGGGACTAATACCGGAAGGGCGAGCCGACCTGACGCCACGTTCGCCTCCGCCGGGGAGGACCTTGCGGGGCAGTCATGAGTCGCTACAAGTTCGTCGGTGAGGAAAGCGTTTTCGGTCTTTGGGCCTTTCTGACTGTCCCGGGGGCCTCTACCCACGGCCAGAGGCCCCGGGCTTGTAGCTCCCCGAAGTTTTGAGGATTTAAAGAGCGTGCAGTGGAAGAGGGTGTAGGGCGGAATCAGTGCTGGTAACGGATGGTCTGGTTCTTGACTTGAGTGCTGGTTTCACGAGCGTGTACTGTATTGTGGGCCTTCATGAGCAATACAGATTCGTGCTGTTTTCAGAGTGTCTGTTGTATTCAGTTAAAAAAAGAGACCTGGGGGTGTAGCTTAGTGATGGGGCTCTAGCCCAACACTCTCGGGGCCCTGGGTGCGATTGCCAGCGCCGCAAAAAACAGCAACTTCTAAAAGATCATCACTATATTCCCTTCCCTCCGTGCACCCCACCTCCACCCTTCTCCCTCTCCGTGGTTGAAAGGGCTGGCTCGGAAGGACCTGTTAATTCATCACTGTTACTGAGAGCTTTTGATGGCCTCGTGGCCTCGGAACTCGGGGCTCAGAGATCTGGTCCCAGCTCGGCTGGCGTCGCATCTGCTGGATAAACTGGAGAACGCCAGTAGTAAGGAGAAAAACCAGTTCTGTTACTTGGCAAGTGCAGTGTTCCTTTCAGCTGCAGTTGAACGAAAGGGAGAGTACAGCGGGGGTCCACGGGGTATGAATCCGTATTATTAGACACTTAGGAAAACCTGAGGGACATTTTAAGAGCTGTGAGCAGAAAGATAACTTGGGACTCGAGAGCCTTAGTTTAGTTTCGCTCTGTGTGGAGCAGAGGTTCACCGAAAGCTTTCAGAGGAAGCATTCAGTAAGTCATGGAGTGCCATTTATGTGGCTGGACTCTCGCGCTGTGACATACAGCAGTGTGCAAAGCTAGGCTTGATCTTTGCTTCTGTACAGGTGGGAAATGGCAGTGATCACATCTCTGCCTCACTGAGGTGATCTTGCTAGCTATTATGTGGATTAGGGAGTATTTAGCAACTGAGTGTTCGATGCAGCTTATGGCACGTGAACAAAGATGACTCAGGGTTTGGATAAGTACTAAACGTGAAATGGAAGCATTCCTGGCAGGAGTAGTGGGAGAACCACCAGGTCCATGCGGGGTCCTAAAGGACATCCAGGCACAGACATCATCCTGCACTTGGAAATGTAATCAGGCGCTTAGGAGAGTAGTCAAGGTTATAAGCTTAAATATGAGTTATTTTCAGCAGCGTACTTTTCCAAAGACTTTTTGTTGAATTCGGTGGAACTGTAAAACATTATAGTGCAGTTCTCAGACTGGAGAGGTGAGCCCTAGGTTGTCAAGGAAAGGGCAGGGGAGAACGTGAGAGCCAGCAGAGGTTCAGAGTGCTGTAAGAGCCGGGTGTGGAGGGTCCGCAAAGGCTGTGAGACGTTTTCTAGGGTGTGATGTCTCTGCCTACACCCTCATCTGCGACGTGATGACCGCGGAGATGGAATAGGCATGGGACACTCCACAAAAGACACTTAACAAAGGCTTGTTTCTGCATAGAGCCAATCCCCTGCCTCAAGTCAGTTCTTTTTAAGTGCATTCTCCATATAGCCTCCGGAGTGGTCTATCAAAAAGTCAGATCAACTGACTTTTTCTTCTGCTGCAAATCTTTGGTTTACTGTCCTCAGGATATGTGAATTATCTTGACAACACACAGAGCCTTTCTGCTGCTGTCTGGTCCTGCCCACATTTCCAGCCTCCTCTCTTTGTGCTTTATAAACTCTTGTCTCTACAGTTTCTTTCCTCTGGCAAGTTTTTAAGAGTGCCAGTTTGGGCCAGAAACTTTTCTCTGCCTCCTCTGCTTCTGACTACCCTGTTGCCTGGCCTTGTACATATTCTTTAAGACTTCATAAATTTAGCCCTGTGCCACATTATTTATAATTAAATATCGATGTACCTGCTTTTCTCACTAGACCAAACTTTGTAAGACAGGTACTGGTATTTATCTTTGTTTCCCAGGGGTTTAGTATAGTGGCTGTTCAATGGAAGAATGAATGATTGGGTAAAAGAATATATATGGCCTTAGCGCTGAGGTGATAAGAAAATTGATAAAACCAGGTGAAATAGAAAAGGAGGTGACTTTATTGGAATAAATAATTGGGATAATTTTTTTTATGCTCTCTGTCAGTTCCATTCTCCTAATAAAACTATATTAAAAGTTTAAAGCATATCCTTTCCTAACTTTTAAGCAAATATACACAGATGAATACAAACTTCAAGGTTTTTTGTTTTCTTTTTTAAAACAAAAATAGTCATACTGTACATTCAATCTTTGTTCTATCACTTGCTCTGATTCTGTTTTGTTTTGTTCTTTGAGACCAGGGTCTCATGATGCAGTTCAGGCTAGCCTTGAACTCACTGTATAACCCAGGTTGACTGTGAACCTCCTGCCTAAGCCTCCCAAGGGCTGGGATTACAGGGATGTGGTACCACACCTGGCACTTGCTCTGCTACTTAATCTTCTTTGTCATTTAAAAGACTCTTTGAACCATTGCACAGATGTTTCACCCTACCAATGAGTCATGAAAGCACCATATTAGTTCCATGGAAAATTGGTCCATGAACAAGTATTCCATGAAACAGATACATGAGAAATTAAAGCAGTGTTAATGGAGGCAGCCATAGATCTTAGTTTAGAACAGCTGACTATGCCTGGGTTCTAATGCCTTTCTCCCTTTCCCTCTTCTCTGACTGTGTAACATGCTGCTTCCCCTTCAGACAGCACTGTGGGGAGGAGGACAGGAGGCAGAACTATTTGTTGAAAAGTCTCCACCACCTCCTGTTTAACACATGGGCCTCTGGGAGACAAGATCCAAACTGTAGCCTGAGGCCTACCTTTCCATGCACCCTGAAGGCAGTATGGGGTGCTTGTGTCGTCTGACCTGTGGAGGGGTAGGAAGTACATCCCCACTACAGTTCTGTGGTTCTGCGAGTAAACTTTCCTTATGTTCTGAACACCAGGCTACAAAAGCCTTGCCCTTATACTTCTCAGACATAGGAAGCATCTCCAGAATATCTGAGGAAGAAGTTACACCCTGGCCCACTCTCCATGGCCTGAAAGACACAGTTGTTTGTCCTAACTCCAGTACTCTAAAAAGTGCTCATCTACTCCCAGGAATTCTGAACTAGGTGAAGGGAAGTGTGCTAGGAAAAGCACTGAAGACTGCATTAGATCTAGGGATGTACCTTAGGGCAGCGCACCTGCCTACTGCAAGCCTCGGTTCCATCTGAGCACCACTGGGGCAGAGGTTTTTTGACACCTTTTTAAATACTGTCAGAACAAAATTACAGAAATTTATGGATTACAGTAAGTTATGGATCTATTATTCATGATTCGTGAGTGAGGGCAGCCTCCATTACACAACAAAATTAGAACTCACACTTGGGGTAGCAGAATACAGTGAGTTTGTAAGGGAATGGGGAAATAGAGTAGAGGAAAAAGAACTTGATTGGTTAACAGGTTACTTTTTTTGTAGGGGTTAAAGTGGAGGAGACTTCCCTGTTAGTCTGATCTGTCTTGAGATCTATTTCTTTAAAGTAGCATTTAGCAAGAGTGAATATTTTGGTTTGGTCTGATTTCTTGGGCCTAGTGCAGTAGCCTTTCATAATTTTTGTTTACTAGTACTCCCCCACAAAACAACTTTATTATTACATAAATGACATTAAAATTTTTAACATTTAAAAAAAATAAAAGCAGCATATCACCTAAAACCTCACCCTTTAAAAATAAACTGATACAGGGCTGGGGATGTAGTAGCTCAGTGGTGCCACGCTGCTGAGTGTGATCCCCGGTACCTCTCCACAATAAATACAAATAAATAAACTGATACAAATGACATTTGAGAAATTGTATCTACCTTAACTATATTTGCCATCTTAAATGGGAAGTATTTAATTGCATTTGAACTTAAATCAGAAAAAAAAAATTGAAGGGACTGCTGAACTTGTGATAAATATATTTCTTCACCAGAAGAGATTCCTTTAATGCTAAGAAAAAAATATCATTAATATCATAGAGAAATTGGGAATAATTTTTGTTTACCTGTTTTATTTAGCTATTAATGTACAGTAACATTAGTCCATTTTCTCAAATAAAACCTGGAGAGATCACACCTAGACTTTTTTTTTACACATTTCTTCTGTTTTTATCAGATTTTTTTCATGAACTTTCTCAAAGTTTATAACATTATTTCATTCCATTGTGGAAAAGTAATTGGCCCTGTTGTTTCTCTTAGTGCTGTGTTAGAATAAATACAGTGCTTAAGCTGGGTATAGTGGCTAGTGCTTCTAATCCCAGCATTTGGGAAGCCAAAGCAGAAGATTGAGAGTTTGAGGCCAGCCTGGGCTACATGTCTCAAGAAAACCAAAACCAAGACTATATAGAATTAACCTCCAGTCCTTCGCTCTGGCTTCTCCATTCCCAAGAGTGGTTACTGACTCACGAATTTCAGGGGCAGGGTCGATACTTGAACCTGTAGGGGAGGAGTAGATTACCCTTTCCCTTAGTTCCTATGTGGGCTCTTTGGGTGGATCTAGAAATCAAGTCAATCTAAGGGTGATTAACAGGAGGAAAGCATACAAGTTTTATTAAAATGTACATGTCCATAGGAATCCTCACAAGAGAGTGAAGTTTAGAGAAATTACTAATGTAAGATGCTTTTATACTTTTAGACAGATAGTAAATTTAGAGCCAGGTGAGTGGCGCACTCCTATAATAATCCCAACATTGGGGAAGCTGGGACAGGAGGATCATAGCAAGTTCAAGGCCAGCCCAGGCTACTTAGCGAGACCTGTCCCAAAAAATACAACACAGCAAAGAAAAAAGGAGGAGGAGAAGGGGGAGGGGGAGGAGGAGGAAGAAGAAGAGGAAGAAGACATTTATGGAGAAATGCCAGAAAAAAATGAGTC